AGTTTTGTAGTTCCCAACAGCCCATGCCACTGTGGCCGATGCACAACTTGACGAACCTCGAGGAAGCCAGCTGCGAGTGATGTAGGAGTGACAACAAATTGTGGGATGGCTGCGAACGACTGTAAATAGCGACGACAAGGAAGCCATGTGCCCACTGCAAACCAAGACAGGGTAAGCACCATACATTAGACCTGTGTACTGAATGAATACTCATGCATTGTGTTTGTTTTCATGCTCTTTCTCAATCCACTCCTTTCTGCAGTGCCAAACATTCCTCCTCCACGATGTTTCTCTCCAACCTTGCGAGCACCACGAAAGGCTGACATGACACCTGATCCAGCAGGCATCTGATTCATGCGAGCGACTGACAAGAGGTAGGCGGGGTACAGGGCAAGGATTAATGTCAGCCTTGTTGAATCCAGGAGGTATGACTCTCTCTTTTCGAGTTTGGCACTAATGCTTCTTGCTACACATAGATTTCAAATGAAATAGAGCACTGGATGCGAGAACCATAAGGTAAGTAAGACATCCTTTACTGAGAATGTACATTAAACTTACGTGCTGTTGGTTTTGACGCCCCTTCTAATTCGCTCATCTGCCATCACACTATGCCCATTCACTGCTGCCACATCTGCCAAGCCATTCGTGTCCTGCGTCAAGTCAACTACCTGCCATCACCGACTTGATTGTGCCCGTGGATACGAGCAACAGAAAAGCTGTAATCAAGAACACTGATGAGTCTATGCAGTCTACCTCATGATATAAGCATGGAACTTACATGTTTCCTTCTGCCTTCTCGATGCCCAACCTGCACCACTATTGCTGACAACTTCTCCTATGAACACCAACCCTCCCGCCACCTGCTCCTTGCTATCCAGTAGGGGGCCCAACATCGACCAGAGCCTTTGTTGCCTCCGACCTCCAACATCGGCCATGATCGCGTGTTGCCACCACTGTGAAGAGCCTTGATGTGCTGGTGCATACTCGTCTCCCCAGAGGTCTTTATTGTCTTTCACTGATTCCTACCGGAATCCTGCAGAATCCGGTCATTCCAGAGGAATAATTTTTGGGTCATTTTGGCTGAGAGGCCAGCCAAAATGCAAAATTTCATTCTAGGAGAATGCAGACTGGAATGAGCTGCAACCAGAATACCCAACAGGAATGGCCGGAACAGAATGGCCACCGGAATCTGGTTATTTCCAAAAAAGGAAGTATGGTTATTTTTAGCAACAACGTAAAAATATCACACTATTACATAAAATGACATCAAAATAAAACTGTGGGACCTATTTCTAATCAAGATATTCCATATTTGACACATACAATTTTCAAAACTGCTGGCTTTGGTCGAGTTTTTTGCATTTTTCTCAATGACAAAAGCAGCTAGTCACATGATTTTGATATATTTGTGATTCTGGAAGCGTGCTCTATAGTTACTTTTTTGGTAAAAAGTTCCCACGGTGCCTGAAACAGACCAAATAAGGTGATTTCAGTTACCCGAGTGAGATGACATATACATATTTGTAATCTCCTTAAAATTCTGAATCTGATGGTACCCCTTTGACTCTGAATCTCTCAGAATTGGTTACGCAATCTATAAATATATTATAGATAGATAGGGTATGTAGTTCAATGTTTTTGTTAGGTTAGAAACAGTTCTTTGGTCTAATGGTTAAATGGTCTGGGATATTAGCTACAGGATTTCTTCTGGGGCTCAGGTTCAATTCCTGAAAGATGCAAAATCTTTAAGTGATATTTTTCTCTGAGTTCTGTCTAAGTCCACCAAGTTGAAGTCCTATCCAGAATCTTGGTCATTCCTGTGGATTCCAGTTAGGATTCCTGCGGAATTGAGTCCATTCCTGCAGATTCCAGTCCATTCCTGTGGATTCCTGTCCATTCCTCTGGAATCCACTTATTCTGAGAGGAATCAGTGGAGGAATGAAAAGTATTGGAAATTTTGACTATGCATTGCTATATTCTGCTAATGAGAAAACTTTTGAACAGAAAACCCAATAGTTGGAGCAATTCAGAGCCCATTTTTTTTTTTGCAAGATGCCCATTGCGTCTTTTGGTGCATTAAAGTACTTTCCCTTATCAGACTGCTTTGTTCCAGCACAGATGGATTTCTTCAATATTCACACAACAGCAGAGCTTGGCTACTCTGTTATGCAAGCTCTTGCCATCCCACTCCCTGAAACTATAGAAGGCACAGTTGTCATTGACAATGATCATATGTCTAGCAAACAGCTTCTTACCTGCGCTGCAATAGTAGCACTGTTAAACAAAATGGTAAACATCTTTGAAGCTGAAGAGTTTTCATTCTCCCTATCTCATTGACAACTGGGACGTGGACTAGATGTTCTGAAGGTGATCATTACACTGCCGGCGGCATTTGTGAGTTCCTGCTTTAAAACTTGGCCTTAGGCTAAAATCATTTTACTTAACAGATCACCTTTGCTGCCATCTTTCTGATGCAAGCAAAGTCGAGAAGAGGGGTAGATGCAATCCTGCTCTCTTTTCTTGATGAATTGTCACCCGAAGAAAAGAGAATTTGGCAAATTTATTGTATTAACATCCTTCTGCAAATCAGGGTCACAGACTCTGATCTGAATGTGGCATTAGCAGATTTGTGCCGTGATCTTGAAATAGGAAGTTTTATGAATGACATAGCCCACATGGGCATCATACAGTGCTATCGTCACTTGCAAAATGCATGATTTCTTCCAAACTTTCTGTTCTGGATCTGTTGTTACAGTAGTTTTTCTTTGTAGTTGTGCAGTTTCATGTTACAATTATGACTGAATTAGTCTCGCATACCAGCTGTGTCTGAAAAGGATATTTCAATGAAAGACATTCATAACCAAACAAAAAAAATTATGGAATAACGAAATGACGTAGTTTCAGAATGTCTGGTGCAGTTCAATAGTCTAACCACCCAGGTGCAATCACCCCCAGTTGTGCTCAGGCAACTTATAGCCATACCTAATCTATTATCACAGAAGTCATAATTGTAGCTTGGACATAGGAACTCTCTGCACAGCTCTGACCACTCCTTTTCCCTTGTAATCACTGTCACAATTTAAATGTATGTCTGCTGTGGGATCACCATCGATTGGGGCTGCCAGCAGCAGCAATGGGGGGTCGTGGGTAGCACCGCTGCACGTCATTGAGGCTGTAAAGTGGATGGTCCCTATAGAGATTACAGAGCCTGCTCAAAGAGAGTTTCTTGGATGACATAAACATCACAAGTTGAAATATATTATCCAACAGAAAAGATTGAAAAATAAAATACAAAAATGAGAGAGATCAGCAAGTTGGATATTGATATTGAGAGGAGGCCAAGACCTCTAGTGTAGCAAGTATATAAGGGCATGAGAGTTACTTTCTGAAGTCTAAGATACATGAATCATTTATATTCACAACCTGTGCACTTCCCTAGCAGTATTACCTGCAGTCAGACATAATGGGGCTCTGAATCAATAGAGATGACTAATTTCACTGTTCATATCTACATACACAAAATACCATTTTGGATTGATGATCTCTTGGTGGAGGTCACCAACTTGATAAACACATTCATGTTTGGTCTTTTGGTTGCCACCTGTGAGGCTCAGTGGTATGTTGATCCTTGCAATTAGAAAAATACATGGGTTCAGATGACCCACATGGGTCACAGGTAAGGGTATTAATAGGTATGGGCACAGGTGAGTGCTCTGGTACCTGTGAGCTTTCAAACAAGCTCTGAAATTAACTGTTTTGGGTGAGATATTCTCAAAATGCTGAAATATTGCAATATTGCATGTATCTCATCCAGTTCTTGACTTTTTTGGCTGTTTTTGGTCCCATTTTGATGGAAAAATCTGTGCAAGTCATGGGTATGGGTTGTCACAGGTATGGGTATGGGTATTCACTGAGATACCTGAGGGTCACCAATGCAATTCCTTACTTACAATGCCTGACATGCAGTTAGGTATAACCACAAATTCTTTTATTATTCAGCCAGTGATATATTCTTTAACTCTGCACTTATATTTCTTGGTGATTTGGTGAGTAATGAAAGGTTATTAATTTATTCAATTCACAAATTTCAATATTTTTAGGTTCACCAAAGCTAGCCTCATTATATCACTTGGGCAATTTTTTAGGAATGAATAATGTGCCATCTGGTGCTTCAAGTTACTTTCATTAATGCTGGCCTTAATTAGACCTATTTATTGCATTGCCATCAGTGTGGTCTGTGCACAGAAACATATCGCTATTGACAGTGTGACATTCTGTTCCTTACCTCAGGTATTCATCATATGTGCACTCATTAGTAAGCATTTACCAACTAACAAGAACTGCACCAACTATTTTCTCAGTTGACATTGCTATTAACATCAGTATTGTCTCTCTCACATGGTGTATATTCATTGATGCTAAACTCTGCCCATTACAAAAATGCAGTATGATCTTGGAATTTTCAGGTAGCAGTGGATGGACCTTTATTTCAAGCAGCATTATATACCAATTTCCACAACAAAGCTTAGCACTATCAATGAAGAAACTGAAAACATTGTTAAGCAAGTGAAGGTTTTACAGGCATAACACCATAGAGAGGATAAACTGTGGATGCTCTGTAAATCCTTTATTCAAGGACAAGGATCTATTTACATCCTGGAAAAGAATAAAAAAAAAAAGGAGCTAATAGAATAGAAGAAAATGCCCCTGACTATGTGGAGCATAAATGGAATCCAAGGACATTGAGCAGACCTGCTGTTTCAACCTTTTTGAGTGCCACTGGAGACAGTCACTATATGTCTGAATTTTTGATAAAACCCACCTGTTCAGGACTTTGGCAGCACTTTTGGCCTATTTTAGTCATTTAGCTTGCAATATTCATCAAATTTTTGGATATTGCATTTACCTTGATCTTTGCACCCTATACATAAATTGTTATATTAGTTAATGATCAGCCATTTGTTAGAAATCACTTGATCAAACAATCTTAGAACAGGATATGACCAGACCTGAGTTTGAACCAAGGACCTTCCTAATCTAGGTGGATGCTCTAACCACTGAGCTATCTGGTTTTAGTTATACTAGTGTTGGATATGATAGATATATCCAAGGATGGACATAATATCCACAATGCTTTGGCCTGCACTGTGACTGCATTAGGTGGAATACCAGGGGTCCTGATTATAATCAAGTAGTGTAACAGATCACTACTTAACACTATTTTCAATTCATATCTTTAAAGAAGTAGAAGCAGTGACAGTAGATTTCTTCTATAATAATCAATTGATGAGTACAGAGTGTTATTAATAATATTATCAATGTAAAAAAATAAATGCAATATTTCTCATGAGTTTCCCTATCAAAAAAGCCCTAAAACATCACAATTAGACAAGTTTTGACAGAGATACACTCAAAATGATTGTATTTAATCATTTTGACTGTATGTCATCAAAACTCATCTGTTTTGGATGTTCCAGAGCTTGATTGAAAGCTCACAGATAGGAGAAATTTAATTCATACTCTATCTATATGGTACTTTAAATATAAAGTATCTGGATATACAGATGATACAAGAGCCTACAGTACAGAAGGTAAAACAAGTTGAGTAGTTTGGTTGTATGAAGAACCCACAAAAGGGAGGATTGGAGACTATTTTGTGACCTACAATGGTAAGGTGTCGGTTTTAGAAAAGAGATTGAGTAGAGACAGGGCATGGACCATGTACTGTTGAACTGATGACTAAGATTGTAGATTGGTGTTGATAGAAGTAAATCGCATGACTGAAATAGTCAGAGGTGGTGTAAATGCCTGTGTTAGTGGAATTGAATTTGCTGACATGGATTCTGATAGAAAGTAGACAGCTCTAGGACTGGGTGTGCAACACCATAGCTACCCCCAAACTTCTTCATTCTGGTATCCTGAATGCAGAGAAGAAACTATATACAGGTGTATTGTAAACTGAATCTGATACAGTCATAGCAGTAAATGAGTAGCTCATGTGTGGAGGGTGGAAGTGTTTTTTGTCAGAGGAACACTCTTCATGTCCTTGATAAATACATGGCTAAAGGAAAAGGTAAATGTGGTCAAAGGTAAGCAAAGAGGTAGTATGAAGCTCTGTTCTGCATAAAAAAAAGAGGATGTATGATTAGTGACATCTTACAAGGTGCTCTGCTATGTACCTTGTGTCCTTTGTTATCTTTATCGTCCTTCTGGAGCCCCATTTCAATGATGTCAGTGTTCTCCACAGACATTCAGAGTGCAATGACAAAGTGACATTGCTCATTATGGACATTGAGACATTGACAGTGTATTGGGAGTATCGTAAATAGTGGTTGTAGGGAAAAAAAATGTCCAGTCTATTTCAAACTCTGCTCCATAGATAAAAGAAAGAATGTACATTGGGAAGCAAAGAGACCCAGGTAAATGAAAGGAAAGCAAACAACAATGCATGGATTAAATTATGCTATTGTGAAGCAAACAGACATGCCTCATACATAAAAGGAATACATCAACATCAGTGGAAGTATTGGAATAAACAAGTATGCACAATGCATTGAACAGCACACATCAATATATGGGGCATAATGGTAATACAACTAATATTGAAGCTTGCATGTTTGCTTGTCAACAAGTAATCATGACATATAATGCCTCATATTCTCACTTCACTGTTTTAAAAGCTTTGTCACTTGAAATAATGTCACACCAGAACTCACTTCTTCATTCTGCTGAAAATGCCTCAATTCTGGACTCAAGGCAGCTGATCACAACTGCCTGTTAGAAGACAAAGAAAGTGAGCATCTAATTCTCTAGCAATCTTTTGGAAACTGAGTCTCTGAGTCAGAATCACATCTAATATTCAGAGCAACTGCTTTGGATACAAAAGTGCCCAACACCACTAAGAAGAAAAAAAAATGCAGGTGCCAGAAAAACCCCTGGATCTCATTGCTCATGTAATTTACCAAATGATCAAAGGATGACCACTCTATGAATATGATGCACTAATCAATATTTGTACTTTGGCACCTGCATTCAAGAAGCCATTTGAGATAGTTCTGGAGCATATGAGTGCTATTGCAGTGAATGTGAGAATGCCAGATCCTCAATATACAGAAATCATTGCCAAGCTCTTCACAAAAATGTGTGTTGTATCCAAAAATTTGACTGTCCTTTATAATGGGCTGCAAAACATCTTTTTTAGATTTGTTAATACAGCAAATAATGAGGATTCACCTTTCCTGAAATCTGCTATTGCACAAGGGTTCACATGCTGGAATAAACTTGGAAGATTGCATCAGTATAAAAAATCTCTCCACTAGCAGGCACTATATGTTGGGCTAGAAAAGTGTGTACATTTCTTTCTTAGTTTCTTATTCTGACTGGATAAAAAAAGTGCATGATGAATTGGATGAGTATTTAGAGGAAAAGCACCTAGTTGAGTTGCAATTATTTTTAGAAGACATCAACATTGGTTATTTTAGCATTAATGAAGATAGTCTCAATTAAATCCTTTTACAAGGGTGTGTCCATCAGATTTGTGCCACAAAAGATGCTCCTAAAAAAGCCTGGGCATTCATATTCTGAACAAAGAAGAATAGTGAAGATAACACACCCACCAAGAATAAAACTGTAAATATTTTGAACCCCTCTTACTTCACCTTTCCACCTTTCTTTATTGCAGTTCAGGAGTAATATATGTTGTTCAAGCAAGCAATCTCTGAATTTTTTTCACTTGATAACCCTCATTTAGCTACTAAGTCAACAACTGTAGAGCTTTTCACATTGTGGGTTTTGTATTTTATTTGCTTACTCTTTGATCAAGAAAAAAGTTGCCTGCAAAGTGCTCTGGTCATTTTGACACTGGCATTATGGTCAAAGGCATTAAGGTTTTTGTGGCCTTTAATATTCCATACCAAGCTGAAAAGCTCAAGTCCAGTGAATGATATGCCACTAAAAGCTTGGAAGACTGTGAGTCTGGCTGATCATCTCTTCATATGGATTATGCTCTCTTGGTTTTCTTATGGCTAATTTGGCTGTTATTAGAAGATGGCCAAAAAGTCAAATCTACTAAACTGTTTTGGTGTCCCTCAATTTTCTAATTTCTATACCTATCAATATTCTTCTTCGATTTACCTGGATAGAAATGAGTTCCCATATGTTGGTTGGATTGCAAGATGTCCACATTAGGTCAGTTTCTTTTGTTGATACACTGTAGTATTCTATTTTTTTTTTTGTAATAGCTCATGCATGACACTGCCCATAAAACTGGCAACTTTGTATAGATGTCACATAATTTCTTAATTGAGTTGGCCCTAAACACACTTTAGTTTTGGATGCCACCTCTGGCTCCTATGGAACTACAGTTAGTCATGAGGCTATTCTGACAGGGCAATTTATTATTGCCAAAAAAACATGTTGAAGCCAAAAAAAACATGTTGAAGCAAGCTCTGATGCTGGTCAGTGGACATGTGTCTCTGTTCTGCCCAGGACAGTTGCACTGTCCTTTGTACATCAATAGATGCCCTCTTTTTTTGTTGTATATTGTATTGATTTTTTAAATAAATTGTGCATTGAATGTGTAAAAGATTTTAAGTTCTGATTGAGGTTATTATTATATCAATTACAATTAATAATATGCAGAGCTTATGAGCGACAGAACATTTAGTGGCTGTTGAAAACATTGATTTTTTCACATCTACTGTTGTCATTTGTCCTGCTTTAATGCTTCAGTTAATTAATATAGTGACTGATTGGATCATTCTTCATTCCCAAAAGCTGTAGATCACAAAGCTAGGTAATCTCATAGTCATAGAAAAGGTCACCTTTTCATGTCCTATAGCACAGATGCAACTCACAGGCTATATGAGGAGACAACAATATTCACTGCATCTTTGTCTCCTTCTCAAATGTCATCTGGTTTATTAAACCATATTTGAATTTGCTTGGAATGCTGCCTGTGACTTTCTGCACAGCTCAATTTAACATCTGTTTCTCCACAATGCTCTCTGTGATGAAACTGAAGATGCAAACAAGCTTCATCTGCACACCATAATGTACTTAGTTGATATTTCATAATGTAAAGTAATGATGGACACTGCTTGTGCTCATCGAGGTCAGGTAATTGATGCTGTAAAAAAAAATTGTGAGATAGGTGATAATATAAGTGAAATAAAAGATGCAGGAGGTGTTAGAAAGTCTGTGAGTTTAGATAGAAGCAGAATTTCAGTTTAAGGTGAAGTTTGCAATAGTGGCAATATAGATGACAATAATTCACAATCCTCCTTAGATTTTTTATATTCTAGATTTTCTGCTATACTCTCATCTAGACTGTTCCACCTACCTACCCTACTGAGAGTGGTAGCATACAAATTTGCCTGAGCACTGCTTCTTGACTGCCTATATTCTTTATTATCCTTATTATCATCAAAATCTGAGTCCATTTCATCTGTCAGCTCCTGCAACATCAACAACTCAATACTAACAATGCCTCAGATATGATCATTTGTTGACATCCAGGGGCATGATGTTGGATTCAGGAAATAAATTCAATGAAGAGTGTGTATAAGCCTTATATCAATGTGTTGATGATGGGCTCATACTTATTTCTGATTGGGTTAAGGAAATAAATAGAAGTGTAGAGGGCCTCATGAGTGGGATCAAGTAAGATAATTTCTCATTCTTCTTTTTACTGCACTTCTCCACCTCAGCAATAGCAGCTGTATCAGTTTGAGGGCCAGTAGCAGCTAGTGAAGTACAATATCAGTCAGAGAGTCAGAAAAGAGAGAAAAGAAGAAATGTATGACCAAACATACTAGTGGTCTTGAAGAGGTGCTTGAGCTCACCAGTGGCAGGCTTTCCAAGGACATAGATGGTGACTGGCTTGACATTGTAGATATTTTTAAGGCCTATAAAGCTCTGAATAAAGAGAGGCTGGATGAAGTGAAAGTATATATGCATGACAGCCATCATGGTGATACTCATGTATGTAGAATAAAGCTAGAGAAGGAGGAAAAAGCAGAATGTGAAGAGATGGATAATGAAATAATAAAACTGCACAAGTTTTGGTGTTTTA